CTGTATGCCCGCTGCTCATCTGCTGGCACGGCTTCTTTATTTCACTCCCGCCCCGCTCTTGTGTTCTGGCCAGGACTGTGTGGGCCCCGGATTGTGCGTCTGTCCCCGTTTGTAAGAACGTGGTTGCGCGTGCTGGCAGCCACGCCCTTTCGTTGCTGTGCTAGTGCCGGAGCGCCCTCGCGCCGGCCCTCACCAGGGCACCCGCCCCTCGCCTCTCCTTGCCTTCAAGCCTCCGCAGCTTCTTCTGTTTGCCCCCACTTGAAACCCCCACACCAGACCCCGGTCGCCCTTTCCGCCACCCCCCCTCCCACACACACACGCCAGGCTACAGTTCATGGTGGACCTCCAGAGGACTCTGAGGACCCTGGTGCGCAAGAACGAGGAGCTCAGGATGCAGGTGCAGCGCAGACGTGGTGGGGTAGGGTGTGATGTGGTGTTGCAAGGTGGGGTTTGGTGTCACACTTTTGCGCAGTGTGGGTCTCGCGTGCCGGGGTCCAGCGCGCATGTGAGATGGGAAGGGTAAAGTCCTCGGGCTGGGGTTTTGGCTGCCCTGGCAGATGTGGAAAGGGGGCATTTGGGATCGCCGAGATTGTGTTGTAGGTGAGGGTGAGATTCAACCGGGGGGGGGGGGCGGCGGGGATAGGAGGGGCAGATAGGTGGGGCGGTTGAGATGCATGGGCGGGGGGAGGTGTGCAGTTGGTAGTGTTTAGTTGGACATTGGGGGACATTTCGTGAGCCCGACGTAAGCAAGGGTGCGTGCAAGCCTTGCGTAGGCAAGGGTGTGTGCATGACAAGGTGTTTTCTAATCCTGACTGTGGCGACCGCCCGCACACCTTTGTATTCGTTTGACCGACCATCAGAGTAGCAGCTACATCCCACCAATGAATAACTACTCTGTCCATCATCCGTCCCTACATACCCTTGTTCCACGCTCACGCTCGCTCCCAACAACGCCCCAGCTTGCTTGATCGCCAGCTGAGCCTTACCCCAAAAGCCCTGTCAATGGCCTCCCAATGCCACTTCAGCATGTCCCCTGACCCCACCCAGCACGCCTCAAAAATCCACTGCAATGCCACCCTGGCCTGCCTCCGCCCCACCCACCCACCCCTCAAAGGCGATCACATGGCACAAGATGTTTGGCCGCGAGGTGCGGCTGCGCGAGGGCATGAAGCGGCTGCTCGCCACGCTGTGGTGGCACACGGGCGCCTCGCCGCCGGCGAGCACTGGGCTGACGGCGCATGACGTCATCGTGGGCCTCGAAAGCGGTGAGGATTAGGATTAGGATTGTTACAGCGTCCCGCGGTCGCCCGCTCCTGGAGCCATCCAGGCTCATGGGATTGTACAGTAAAGCAGGTGAGCGCGTCAGATAGGATGCATGATCTCCACTGGGTAGTTGATCTGGGTGAAGGTGCCCCTGTGTTTAAAAAAGGGGACAATTGTCAGGCTCTGGGGAGCTGCTTTGTGGTGATGCAACACAGATGCTGAGGAGGAGTCTTTTTTGTGGTCGTCACCAACGCTTGGCTGCATTGTGACCACGTCGGAATACCACAGCTTGAAATCATGGCACTGCCTGGAACCTGGAGGGTACAGCAGGCGATGAGGCTTGCCGGCCACATGATCACACGCTTGGCCCAAGTCATCACACCCCCATCCTCCCTGTTGCTATGAAACAGGAGAGCATCCCTCCCCCAACACCTGGCTGTGCACCTCGCGACAGTGCAGCCATCGATTGCGCAGGCCCATGCCTGCCTTTGCTGCTTTGCTGCTGTTTTTACCGTCACCAAACCGCCATTTTTCCATCCCCCTCCCCCAGGCACCCTAGACATTGGCGCCCTGCTGCGCACCCTCACTACTCCCTCCATCGGCGCCGCCGGCGCCGCGGCCTCGGCAGCCGCAGCTGCCACCAGCTCGCCCCCGCTGGCTACGGCCGGCTCGGGTGGCGACGGCGGCGGCGCTGCGCCGAGCAGCAGCGCCAGCACCCTCCTGGCCATGCAGCTCGCAGCATCGCAGCATCAGCAGCGGCAGCAGCAGCAGCCGCCGCCGCAGCAGCTGGACCACTCACAGCAGCTGCAGCAGCCGCACCCCCAGCAGCAGCAGCACGCCCAGCGGGGCGAGGGCGGCTGCCCTGTGCCTGCAGATGTGGTGCTGCTTTCTCCACCACTGATGCCTGAGGGCAGCCTGCAGCAGCAGGTGGCACCTACAAACGCCGCCGCTTCAGGACAGCCGGCAGATGGCAGCGCCGAGGCCGCTGGGGCCGCTGGGGCGGCTGCGCCGGCTTCTCGCGCGGTGCCCGTGAGCGCGGGCCAGCTGTCGGCGATGCAGGCGGCGCTGAGCGGGGGCTCATGGTCTTGGGGGCCCAACACGGCCGGGCCCACGAGCGACCATGTGTTTGCAGGGTCCTGCGGGAGGGCAGGCCCGGGGTTAGCCCTACCTGGGGGGCCTGCTGCGTGGGGCTCACAGGCGCACGGCTCTGCGGCGGACGGCGCAGGCAGCGGCGCGTCCGCCGGGGCTGCCGAGTGAGCGGCGTGTGCGCTGATCCGCTTGCTGCCGGGCAGCTCTTCAGGCAGCGCAGACAAGGGATGAGCAGCCAAACTGCCTCCCCAAAGAAGTCCGCCACCAGGCAACCCCAAGGGGCTAGCTTTGCACACAAACCACAGCCTGGCCGCCCAGGTCGGTTGGCGCGTTGAAGAGATGCCGTCTGCTGCGAGTTGGGGACGTGTGCAGCGCTCCCTGCTGGGGTGCTACGTAGCATCACTGCTGCATGCATCAACCTTGCCTCCTGCTCGCTCGACCAAAACTCACGGTCAACTATAGTATCGTTTATGTTGCGCGACAGCCTTGACCCATCTGACCCGACTGCTTGATACCGCCTCATCTCTGCGAGCATGGCGTCTTGCATGCATGGCTGGGTCTCTACACCGCCCCTGCGCCCACGCCCGCGCCCGCGCCCACGATGGGGGCCCTGATGGCGGCAGGCGGCCCGCTACAATGCAGACTGCAGGCATGTGCTAGCTGCAGTTGCGCTCCTTGGATTGGGGATAGTTGTGCATATACCGGCGCTTGGGGCATGGATTATTGTCGAAATTCGCCAAAACTTCCGGGAGGGTGCAGGCAACAGTGGTTGGCGTGGGCAACTGCCAGGTGGCAGGGTCCCTTTCTCTGTTCACACACGCAGCTTGGACGCTTCCCAAGGGCTTGCAATATTGGCAGGTCTCACGGGGATGCTGCGAGCACTGCTCCTTTTATGTGCTCCTAGCACTTCTTCGTCGTTTGCGTGTTTTTTCTCAGCACCCTCTCACTCTTGTTGCACTGCGCCCAGCGGCCGATTGCATAATCTTGGGAATGGTGACCGCCTGACCGCATGTGCACCTGCACCCCACGTGCACCTGCCCCAGCCTGGCGTGCTAATGGGCTCGCCAAGAGGCATGGGGCGCAGTTTGACGACCGGCGGGTGCTTCGTTCACCTGCTTGCGTGCTGGGGGTAGCTGTGTAGCTTCTCATGGTGCGCGTGCGAGGCTGTCACTCGCTGTGCATACGACAGCGTCTGACCCCCCAAGTGTGTTTGTGGCACCCTGGAACAAGTGATGCTTGTGCAGTCTCAGCCCCACCTGCCTGTCCCACGCATCTGTTTTCTGGCCGCTGCCGTCGCCCTTGTGGTGGCCTGTGCGCCTTGCCTCCTGCGTGGCCCTCCGCACTCTCACAGGGTTCACTTGGGCTTGTTAGGTGCTCCTGTGACTTGAAAGTGGTATGTGATCGCTTGAACCACAACTGGTGTTGAGTCATCGGGTCGCCCACTGCACCCACATCATACAGGGGCCACACGTCGGGGATTTGACCAGTGCAATGGCAAGGCCTCCACTGCATGCGCTGTTCGCATGCGACACCCCTCCGCCCGCTGCCACTACTCGTTGTTCGTTGCAGCATTGCTTTGATTATTCTGCGCATGCCGCCAACAATTCGCGGCTCTGCAGGAATGCAGTGACCCCCCGAACCCTCCAGAATGGGTGTGTGCGCCTGCTGTATGGCTTGCAAGGCGGTTGACCATGCCTCTGACCAGGCCGTGGCTGTCTTTGACATCTACGAGACCTGGTTGCTGCGATGCCGCGATCCAGCAGAGGAAAGGATGCGTATGGGTAACAGATGCGCTAGACTGCGCGGCTGGGCTCAAGACTGGCACAGTGTAGCTTGACTCGCAGGCATGCAGCAAACACAAACGTCAACTTTCAAGGTGCGCCGGGTGAGAACCCCCAAGCGTGCTTGCCAGGGTGCGTCATCCACCACCACTGACACCCTCGCGCAGGCAAGGAAATGGCCGCTAGATGGGGGCCGCTTCCGCAGAAGCTGCAGCATCCACCACCTCGGCCACCTCCTCCTGCAACGCTGCCGCCTCGTCCCTGCTCCGCGCCGCTTTCGCGGCTGTCCCGCCGCCCACGTGCGCCAGCGTGGCCAGCAGCGAGGCGCTCAGCGGCGCGGGGACACGCGCCGCGTGCCGCGCCGCCCATGAGAGCAGCTCGCCCAGCGGCTGCCCGCTGAATGCCACCACCACACTGCTCAGGGCGGGGCTGTCTGCGGCGGCCGCAGCAGCCGCAGGTCGGGTGCGACCGCGCTGCCCAGTATCGAGGTCGGTGCCTGCACTGTCCTGCTGTGGCTTGTGTCCATCCTCAAGCGGCTGCTCGTCATCCTGCGGCAGCACACCGCCGTCGGCCAAGCCAGAGCCGCCACCAGACGCCTGTGGCCCGTCGGCGGCGCGGCGCATCACTGGCGGCGCGCACACCTCGGACAGCAGCCGCAGCAGCACCGGCTGCGCGGGAGCGGCGTCGCAGCGCCCCGCGAGCGCCGCCAGGAGCTCGCAAGCCTCGCGCAGGCACAGCGCCGCGGCCTCGTGCCGCGCCCTCTGCCGCCGCAGCCGCCGCTCGGCCGCGCCGCCGCCGTCCCCCTCCTCCCCCTGCCGCTGCTGCCGGTCGCCGCCGCCACTGCGGAGCGCACTCGCACTTGCATAATCAGGCCCTTCAGCGGGCCCCTCCTCTGCGTGAGTCAGCAGGTCGAGCGCAACTGCATTGATGTGGCGGAAACACTGCTCCACGGCCTGCTGCCGCGCCGCCGGCGCCGCGTCGCGTGCCCAGCGCGAGTGCGACAGGAACGTGTGCGCAGCCCTGCACACCAGCTGCATGCCAGCGCCGCGCGCCAGCAGCACTCGGCCTGGCTGCTGCTGCTGCTGCTGCTCGCTGGCAGAGCCGTCGATCGCGGCAGGCGCCGCCCTCGCCGCCAGCAGCGCAGGCAGGACCCACAGCAGCATGCGCCCCGCGGCCGCCTCCGTGGCAAACGGCAGGAACTCCCCCAGATCCAGGAGCAGCGCGCGGCGCAGGAAGTCGCCCGGCAGCTGCCGGACGCCCGCCGTCAGGTCGGCGGCGATCGCTGCTGCGAGACCGCCCTGCGGCGGTTT